ATACTTTGATAGTAAAGGTAACACATACTTTGATAGTAAAGATAACATATACTTTGATAGTAAAGATAACACATACTTTGATAGTAAAGGTAACACATACTTTGATAGTAAAGGTAACACACATACTTTGATAGTAAAGGTAACATATACTTTGATAGTAAAGGTAACACATACTTTTGATAGTAAAGATAACAATATACTTTGATAGTAAAGATAACACATACTTTGATAGTAAAGGTAACATATACTTTGATAGTAAAGGTAACACATACTTTGATAGTAAAGGTAACACATACCTTTGATAGTAAAGAATAACATATACTTTGATAGTAAAGGTAACACATACTTTTGATAGTAAAGATAACATATACTTTGATAATAAAGGTAACACATACTTTGATAGTAAAGATAACATATACTTTGATAGTAAAGATAACACATACTTTGATAGTAAAGGTAACACATACTTTGATAGTAAAGGGTAACACATACTTTGATAGTAAAGGTAACACATACTTTGATAGTAAACGGTAACATATACTTTTGATAGTAAAGATAACACATACTTTGATAGTAAAGGTAACATATACTTTGATAGTAAAGGTAACACATACTTTGATAGTAAAGGTAACATATACTTTGATAGTAAAGATAACACATACTTTGATAGTAAAGGTAACACATACTTTGATAGTAAAGATAACACATACTTTGATAGTAAAGGTAACACATACTTTTGATAGTAAAGGTAACACATACTTTGATAGTAAAGGTAACACATACTTTCGATAGTAAAGGTAACATATACTTTGATAGTAAAGGTAAAACATATGCTTTGATAGTAAAGATAACATATACCTTGATAGTAAAGGTAACACATACTTTGATAGTAAAGGTAACACATACTTTTGATTAGTAAAGATAACACATACTTTGATAGTAAAGGTAAACATATACTTTGATAGTAAAATCGGTAACACATACTTTGATAGTAAAGGTAACATATACTTTGATAGTAAAGGTAACACATACTTTGATAGTAAAGGTAACACATACTTTGATAGTAAAGGTAACACATACTTTGATAGTAAAGGTAACATATACTTTGATAGTAAAGGTAACACATTACTTTGATAGTAAAGGTAACACATACTTTGATAGTAAAGGTAACACATACTTTGATAGTAAAGATAACATATACTTTGATAGTAAAGGTAACACATACTTTGATAGTAAAGATAACATATACTTTGATAATAAAGGTAACACATACTTTGATAGTAAAGATAACATATACTTTGATAGTAAAGATAACACATACTTTGATAGTAAAGGTAACACATACTTTGATAGTAAAGGTAACACATACTTTGATAGTAAAGGTAACACATACTTTGATAGTAAAGGTAACACATACTTTGATAGTAAAGGGTAACATATACTTTGATAGTAAAGATAACACATACTTTGATAGTAAAGGTAACACATACTTTGATAGTAAAGATAACACATACTTTGATAGTAAAGGTAACACATACTTTGATAGTAAAGGTAACACATACTTTGATAGTAAAGGTAACACATACTTTGATAGTAAAGGTAACTTGATATAAAGTAAAATTTGATAGTAAAGGTAACACCTTTGATAGTAAAGATAACATATACCTTGATAGTAAAGGTAACACATACTTTGATAGTAAAGGTAACACATACTTTGATAGTAAAGATAACACTACTTTGATAGTAAAGGTAACATATACTTTTGATAGTAAAAGATAACACATACTTTGATAGTAAAGGTAACACATACTTTGATAACAATACTTATGTAAAAATAACACATACTTTGATAGTAAAGGTACATATACTTTGATAGTAAAGATAACACATACTTTGATAGTAAAGATAACACATACTTTGACAGTAAAGATAACACATGTTTTGATAGTAAAGATAACACATACTTTGATAGTAAAGATAACACATGCTTTGATAGTAAAGATAACACATACTTTGATAGTAAAGATAACACACTTTGATAGTAAAGATAACACATACTTTGATAGTAAAGGTAACATATACTTTGATAGTAAAGGTAACACATACTTTGATAATAAAGGTAACATATGCCCTTGATAGTAAAGGTAACAATACTTTGATAGTAAAGATAACATATACCTTGATAGTAAAGGTAACACATGCTTTGATAGTAAAGGTAACATATACTTTGATAGTAAAGGTAACACATACTTTGATAATAAAGGTAACATATGCTTTGATAGTAAAGGTAACACATACTTTGATAGTAAAGGTAACACATACTTTGATAATAAAGGTAACATATGCCTTGATAGTAAAGGTAACACATACTTTGATAGTAAAGATAACATACTACTTGATAGTAAAGGTAACATATACCTTGATAGTAAAAATACCTTTGTAACACATGCTTTGATAGTAAAGGTAACATATACTTTGATAGTAAAGGTAACACATACTTTGATAGTAAAGGTAACATATGCCTTGATAGTTAAGGTAACATATACTTTGATAGTAAAGGTAACATATACTTTGATAGTAAAGGTAACACAAACTTTGATAGTAAAGGTAACATATGCCTTGATAGTAAAGGTAACACATCATACTTTGATAATAAAGGGTAACACATGCTTTGATAGTAAAGTAACATATACTTTGATAGTAAAGGTAACACATACTTTGATAATAAAGGTAACATATGCCTTGATAGTAAAGGTAACACAATACTTTGATAGTAAAGATAACATATACCTTGATAGTAAAGGTAACACATGCTTTGATAGTAAAGGTAACATATACTTTGATAGTAAAGGTAACACATACTTTGATAATAAAGTAACATATGCTTTGATAGTAAAGGTAACACATACTTTGATAGTAAAGATACACATATACCTTGATAGTAAAGGTAACACATGCTTGATAGTAAAGGTAACATATACTTTGATAGTAAAGGTAACACATACTTTGATAATAAAGGTAACATATGCCTTGATAGTAAAGGTAACACATACTTTGATAGTAAAGATAACATATACCTTGATAGTAAAGGTAACACATGCTTTGATAGTAAAGGTAACATATACTTTGATAGTAAAGGTAACACATACTTTGATAATAAAGGTAACATATGCCTTGATAGTAAAGGTAACACATACTTTGATAGTAAAGATAAAACATATACCTTGATAGTAAAGATAACACATACTTTGATAGTAAAGGTAACACATACTTTGATAGTAAAGGTAACATATACGTTGATAGTAAAGATAACACATACTTTGATAGTAAAGGTAACACATACTTTGATAGTAAAGATAACACATACTTTGATAGTAAAGATAATATATACCTTGATAGTAAAGGTAACACATGCTTTGATAGTAAAGGTAACATATACTTTGATAGTAAAGGTAACACATACTTTGATAATAAAGGTAACATATGCCTTGATAATAAAGGTAACACATACTTTGATAGTAAAGGTAACATATACTTTGATAGTAAAGATAACACATACTTTGATAGTAAAGGTAACACATACTTTGATAGTAAAGGTAACATATGCTTTGATAGTAAAGGTAACACATACTTTGATAGTAAAGGTAACATATACTTTGATAGTAAAGGTAACACATACTTTGATAGTAAAGGTAACACATACTTTGATAGTAAAGGTAACACATACTTTGATAGTAAAGGTAACATATACTTTGATAGTAAAGGTAACATATACTTTGATAGTAAAGGTAACATATACTTTGATAGTTAAGGTAACATATGCTTTGATAGTAAAGGTAACATATGCTTTGATAGTAAAGGTAACACATACTTTGATAGTTAAGGTAACATATGCTTTGATAGTAAAGATTACACATACTTTGATAGTAAAGGTAACATATACTTTGATAGTAAAGGTAACATATACTTTAATAGTAAAGGTAACATATACTTTGATAGTAAAGGTAACATATACTTTAATAGTAAAGGTAACATATACTTTGATAATAAAGGTAACATAACATCGTTTAAAAACTTTACATTATGTACCATTTCAGTGTATTTTTAAAACAATTTTATACATGTATGTATACGAGTATAAATGTATATAAAAATGGAACCTTTAAAGCGTGCTGTACATTAATAAATACTCATCTCTATGACAAAAGTTTAAGTTCTATTAACCACCACATATTTATTATAGGTTCACATGTCTCATGTGTTTTATTTCATAAACATGAGAAACTTCACAATTACCACCAACATCCACGAATAGTACATCATTAAGACATCTTAGTGTCATAGCTGTGTACTTATAGTCTTCTAGTTGTCAGATTCTACACATGGAAAGATCCACTCATTTGTGAATCAAACTGCAGAACTCAGGTCTCCACTGAAACAATGGACTACCATTCGCCTTTAATAAACTCAGTGGAACTTAACGCAAACACGTGCGTTGTTAAGTATAACCTTCCGCACGTTGATGGAATCCTTCCTATATAATGAAAAGTATATTAGTAACTTTGGAATCTCCTTAACTTATTGAAAGGGAGTTCTATTTTTACGGATATTGAGATAAATAACAATAGCTGTCTGTATTACGTCGTGCAGGCTGTCAACAAACAACATCTAAGTATTATAAATGTATGTTTTTATCCTCTTCAAAATAAAGAAAAGATGTTGTGTAAAAGCCAGGGTGATTAAAGTTCTTAATTGCCAAATTTATCAAACAATGTGATAAGGACAGCATCATTTAATACAAAAACAGACACACTTAATGATGCAAGCTGAAATTTGGCAATTACAATTCAAATCTTTTAAGGTTCATATACTGGCATTTCTTATATAAATTAATCGCTGGTAATCAAAGAAATAGATCCGCCCAAAGCGCCACAACAACGGAACTATTTGGGCAGCAGTTTCTGCTATCTTTGTTTACACTTTCGGTAAAATTAAGTTTCCCACTCTCATTTCCATGTTTGGTATTCTGATGGCCGTGTCTATCACTAAGATTGCAAAAAGAGACGCAAAACAAGAATTTTGAAATATTTCTACTTGACTTGAAGTTTCTCATTAGAACGGATCGGAAAATAATGGAATATTCTCCTATTTATTAGCCAAACTTTATCTGAAATAGACTGAGACAAAAAATGCAGCAAATGTATATATTAAGCACATTATTGTGTGCAATGGCTTTACCCGGAGTTCTAGGTAATATGCTTGTTGTTTTTATTTTATCTTAGATATGTTATTTTCATATAATTTTATATTCAACTATTGTACTTCGGCTTATTTAATATTAAGCCTAAGGTTATCTTAACGTTATAACCCAATTGTAACAGAACCATAACTTCTAATCTAATATAGACTTAATTTTTCTTATACACGTATATTCCTTAATAAACAGAAGACATGAACACAAAATATCTTTATTACGCGTCGTACGAAAAAATCTATGGTTAAAACGCTAAGTCACGACAAAACCAACGTAATGCGTTTGCGACCAGCATGGATCCAGACCAGCCTGCGCATCCGCGCAGTCTGATCAGGATTCACGCTGTTGGCTATCAGTTTCTCTACTTGTAATAGGGTTTGTAAGCGAACAGCATGGATCCTGATCAGACTGCGCGGATGCGTAGGCTGGTCTGGATCCATGCTGGTCGCAAATGCATTATGTTGGTTTTGTCGTGACGCGGCTCATCGTTTCTTGATACCCATTACGGCTATTGTTTTTTTTCTCTCGTAGAAATTTGCTTTGCGGCTGCTTTTATTTGTTTTTGGGCCAAATGTTTATGTTCAATATATTAGACAAATATAGTGCTGGACTCAAGTCTTGTGTATTGAAGGCTGAAATTAAGTTTCCGGCGTCATACTTCAGTGTCTATCTCCCCCAGCTTTATTTTCATCTATAATAAAACTATATTCCCATTTTTTCTCTCGCTATAACGGAAATTAAATATATAGCATATTACAATGAAGGGGTACAAAATAGTTTTCTGTAATCATAGAGGAAAAATATTACATGATTAAAAGTAAAGGAGATACAATTCCAGTGAGTTATTGTCTGGCATTATACAGTTTACGTCTTGTCGAATTGAAGAAAATTTACTTTACACGTTCATCCGATCGAAAAGTAGCAATGGTACGATTATGATTGGAGCTTTGTTCAAGCGATAAAAGTTATGTTTTTAAATCTTTTTATTTTGCCGACTGTCTCTGTACGTGTACATATGTAATCAGGTTAAACAACAAATAACGGACATTGTTTAAAGTGTTATGCAGCTTTGAACATGACGTAAATTTTATTTTAGCATATTTTATCTAGTACTGTACAATAAACTACAATTAATATATCACTTAATGTTATCCCTTTTTATTCAAGTTAAATGAAAATGGACAAGAACTAGATTTGAAATAATCTGATTACTGTATATAAATCATTGTATGGCGTGGATTTTTCTGTTATTTCTATTTCTTAAGTGTTAAATCATTTCCATACTGAATTATAGAAAGTGTTGAATAAAATGATGTGATGCAAGCTCTAGTGAGAGTTTTTTTCTACTGAATTTCAATAAATTTAGTAAAAAAGCCACACTAATATAATACATTTATTCTTGTTATCAAAAAACCATCATAAAATCCATTTTAGTCGGAAAACATTTTTAGAGCTTCTATTGAAAGGCTTTGGTGTTTGTTTTCGCAGTGTTTCTTTAAAGAAAATAATGGCGTCATGTCATATTATATGCACGGCCGTGTCATACCGTTTTTTACGTAGCCGACGCTAGAGGTTATTGAACGAGTGTAGAAATGATAATAAATTTATTGAACGAGTTGAATAAAATATCACGATGCTCATCAAAGGCATATAAGTTTATTCAACGAGGTAAAAATTTAGTAATGAAGCTTAATGAATGTAATGTAATTTTTATCAAACAGCCAAAATGAGAACAAAAGAATATTTTTCTCTTAATTGACGCACTTTCTCTACTCTAACGCTGACTTTTTATGCGCGATTTTATGCTACATTTGCTCAACGCATATCATGCAATATTGTTTTCATGCAGTCAAAAAGCCGCACGAATATGTGTTAAATATTTTTGTATAGTTCAGTTAACTGAAAGTTGTAATATTCCAAATATAGACACATGCTTAGTTTTAACTGACGAAAGCTATGTTGCCGCTTTGATAGTTTATAAAATAAATTACTAGTTGGATGCTATCTTAAAAATGTACAGATAAAACGAAAGTGAAATAGCATCTCTCTCATAACTGATTTATATCAGCTATTAACCCTTTCACTGCCATAGGGACGGCTTAAGCCGTCCCTGATATTTTCGGCGTATATGCCATATGGACGGCTTTAGCCGTTTCTACAATATTGATAGTAATAATAATAAATTAATAATAATAATAAAAAAATAATAACAAATATAAAGAAAATTATACGATCGACAATAATTATTATTATACTAACAGATTTGGAAACATATATAATTATTATAATACTAATAACAAATAATTATTAATAATAATTATATTAATTATTAATATAGTAATTTCTTAGAAAATCCTCTGGCAAATAAGTGAACAATAAAACAATAACCCTCTGGCAGCGAAAGGGTTAAGAAAATGACCGACTTCTGATGGATTTTCTAAAAAAAAATTATCTTGTTTAAGGCATAAATTGTGTTAGGGGATACTCTTAGTAATTTTTGCTAGACAATGCAATGCCGTGTGCAAAGTCTCAATTGGCATAAGATATTTTTATACCTCTGCATTTCTAAAAGAATTATTTTGAAATTTGCTACTTTAAAAGAACGTAGAATAAGCTTATAAGCAGAGATACAACAGAAGATAGTAAAATAGAACATTGACTTTTTTGTGAGTTAATAGAATATCAAAACCTTATTTCGTATTCATTTCTTTTAATTTTAGAAAGAATCTCTTGATATAAACGATTATTCAAATTTAACAAATCAGCGTCCCAGTTTTTATAGGAAATCCCAAAGGCTTTCATTAAGATTAATCGTGTATTTCCTAAGCACGAACCATCTCTGTAATTTTCCTGATAGCAGATACATCAAAATCGCTTAATTTCATATTCCAATGACTATAATGCGTGACTGCATGAAATTTTAAGCACCATTGTCATGAAGTTTGGACAAATGAAGTTTAATGTGTCAGTGAAACGGTCTTAAATGTTATTTTGGACTAGTTATGAAAATATTTATTGTCTACTACCACGCCCCGGAGTTACAGTTTTTACAGATAGACACATTCATACAGTGAATTTATTATGCCTGTAATATAATGTACAGGTTGATTTCTTGAGTTTTCTCGTACCTGCTTTCTAGATAATTTACTAAACATATCGCATTTCGTATGTTTTTTACGCACAAAACGTATTTTATGTTAAATGCATTTTAAACGGATAAAACTGCTGTTGCTGGTCGCCCCTTTACTGACAGTAGATTTGCATTTATAAAGGAAGGCAGGCCTTGTTTGTTATCACCATGCCAATGTTGTTACGGGTAGCTGGCATGATACTGAAGATTGTGTATCATATTGAACCTTTAATCCCTCGTTTGTAGTCAAGCAAAGGTGCGGTATTGTTTGAACATATAACTTATGACAAGATATATCTCGACTTAAACGCTAAGTGATTAACATTTGTGCGCCGTTAATACGGTTTTGATGTAAACATGAAATAGAAATGTATTTACATTTTTGTTTATACGAAGACGTACTTAAAATAGACAGAGATCTTACAACATGATATTTAGCTTGTTGACTTTCAGTACAATTAAGGAAATGGCTGATCCTGTTTTTTTGCGCCTGTCTTACACACTTCCTCTTGTTTCAGAATTAGTACATAACTACCCATTTACGAACTTGTACGCAGATGAAAAAGAATTCTTTCAGCACATTAAAGAGCACATACTGGATTAAAATAAAATTAAAGACCTGATTGCAAACGGCTGCTCTTATTGACCTTTATATAAACATACTTATACACATGATGACAATTTTTTTTTATAAAACATGATAAAAATGATTTTTTTAAACCGAATCATTTTTTATTTCATTTGGTTATCAAATTAATCAAGCTTCATACTTGCGATACTACACGCCTTTTTAGTTTTAAATCAATATAGGGTTACTATGGAAATTGCAAAAATTTACATCGAATGATGGGGAAAAATCCCTTATTATCTTTAACATGAAGTTAAAAAGATACAAGTAATCGATAGAAATATGTTTAAATAATTACTTCATCTTTTCAGCATAGGAAATATTCAGTATTTGTACAAACGCACTTTAACACAACCGTGGTCTTTAACTATTTTCATTTTTTGTGGGTTAGACATTTCTTGATGTAACATACTGATTACGTTGTACTTAATTACGTTGAAGTCCGTGGCTAAAAGTTATTGTTTTGTATATGTAAATAGTTTTGTTATTTGCAGGCTTTACATGCTACAAATGTTCCTATGTGACAATAACGGAAGGCAGCCGTCGGGACTGTATTGAGAATCCGTCAGCATTAGGATTCAACTCACACCTGCAGTGTAACTCTACCAGCTATTGTGTATTACAGGAACAATATGATATACGTAAGTTAAACCTACTAGTTTTACCTGTTCAACTTATCATAGAGAACCAGTCTGTGTTGAGATTATGATATACAAATCAACGTGCAGATATACAACATACTATTGTGTGGTAAAATTGTATTACTTGTGTTATTCATCGTAATTAAGAAATAAGAATTAATGTTAAGAAATAACATATTCCAAACTGTGATTTTAATTGCTAAATAAAATCACTGTTTGGAGTTCAGATGCGGCGAATTACTACCCGAGGGCGTAACCCGAATGATATATAATGATGCCCTTCCGAACGATTTGGATATATTATTTCGATTCTAACACGACATCAACAAATAAGTGTTGCTGTACATGATATCAAGCTAAATAGTCTGATTTGTCTTCGTACTAATTTTGAAAATTTGAGCGCGTCGCATTTTTAGTGTTTATGTCACATTTACGTCACATGTCAATAGTGATTTTATTGCATGTCCTATGTTCACTAGTGAAAAATGCGGGTCGTGTTAGAATAGAATGTTTTAGTTCCCTTTAAAGTACTGCAAATTGAACTTGCTTCTTTTGTGGACCTTAAATGAAATTACTTGGATGTGCATTCATTAGTAAAATAAATTGATATTTCAAAAGAGATGTCATCGTGAACTCATCAAATGTACGCCAACCGTCCTTACATAAATGAATTGAATTTCTGTAACTTATATATTCTTTCCGTGTTGTAAGATGCTGTGTCATGTATCAGATATACCCATAATTTACATTAATCTATTTAACGCTAAGCTTTGTATAGAATATACAAAGAAATTTACATGTACGTTTATATGTAACAGCTTAACAAAAGAAACATATAATTGCATCAATAATGTAAGAAACATGACAGCTTTACTATCTTAGTCAAGTAAAGGGAACGTTGAAACGACTTGCGGAGGGAAAAAAGAAAATATTGAATGTTAAACGAGTTCTCGAAAAACTGTTTTAGATTTGGATTTCATTTAGATAAAACAAAATCATGTCCGTGAAAATCAAATGCAAAAGTTGCTTGTTGCTGTTGCTGTTTTAGTACGTGCGTCAACACGTCCGTCCGGTCCTATACTGACTTATTGGGATTATTTAATACTAGGTTAAACTTAAAAATAAAAAGGTAATACTGAAGAATCGAAGTTGAAATATTTTTTTAGGGGCTATATCGTTTTAAAGAGATTATCAAACTATTTGAAAAATTGATCAATCTCAAAGTGACAGTGTATCGCGCTCAAATACCAGAAGTGTAGTTCAAAGGTCAACCGTATGAATGACTGCCCTTTTGCTTGTCAATCTCTAATTTTGTCATATGTTACGGATTATTAAGCAAGCTCACCGAGACAGTGTGTAATCTACAAGAATCAGAATAAATGTTAAATAACCGTAGTTCTACATCAGTTTGTCTGAACAATAACTCAGTCATTCCATGGTGAAAATTTTAATACGAATAGTTAGGCAGTATGCGACAGTTTGTTTAGGGCAGAAGAAGCAAGTGTATGATTTTGTGATAGTTCATGATCAAACATAGAGGTTAAACTTCAATTATTAGTTTTCAACTGATTGTCTAGACAATAACGATTTCAGTTGATGGAAGGTTTTTGAATTAATAAGACACACATAGATGACAAGTTGATACAATATGTTATGTACAGTAACGTTTGTGGAAGCCAAAGGGTTAGAGGTCACAATAAGAGGGTAAAAATGGAAAATGAATATGAAACAATTTGTCTGCACAATAAATGTGATATATGATGGGAAATTTTGAAATAATTTGAACAAATGCTATGTAAGTTGAAATGGGTTGGTGCTCTTATAGGTACCTTGCCGGTGTGACAGGGCCTGGAGCTGTGTTCACTGAACCTCCCGTTAACTTGTTTTCATCTTTTTGTGCTAGAACCACATTTCTAGATAAAACAGCCAAGGGAACGCATAAAAGTGTTATAACCATCAGTCTAAAAGAGTTTTTTTCCGATCAATGAACGCCATTTAATTGGGTATTTAAAAAAATGGCATGGCAACTATGATAAGCATGTTGGAACGATAGTGAAAACAATTCCACATAATTATTCTTAAACAAATATGTGGACTTGCTATGTTGTCCGTGGAGTTTTTGTTAAAATAATGTATCTAACATACTCCCTACTGCTTGTTTACCTTACAAAGCAAAACAATTTATTCTTTTGTTAAACTTAATTAACATACTGTAGCCGAGCAACACTAGCACGTGAACAAATTCTAAATGTTTTTATTGAAATGTTATATGATGATTGATTACAAACAGCTATGTGTCGTTTTATCTATTTCAAACGTATACCATCAGTGTGTCTGTTGAGATTTCAGAATAATGATCGGCAGTCTATAAACATTTTAGATAAAGAAAAGACTAAATGATCATGTCTATTTCAGATAAGAAAATGGTGACATCCTATTTCCGCTCTTGTTCCGGTAAATCATGGGGTAATGAGTGTAACAAAGATTGGAGTCACGTGACGTGCAAAGCTTCTTGCCAAGGAAACTATTGTAATGAACAAGACAGAGGAAAACGTTACGAGCCATACCTAGCAGAACATAAAGATGATTATTTATATGACAATGGATCTTCAGTCACATCAAACATTTATTTATTTGTGTCGATGGCATGTGTAGCGAGATATTATCAAAGGAAGATGGTGTGAGTGAAACATACAAACTACGACGCAGTTACAAATACAATACTATTGACACTAAAAATCGGCTATCAAATATCAATTGACTGTTCATGTATAGTCACATTGTAAGGCTAGTCTCATGATCTTAATTTGCTTTTCAATAGTTTTATGGATTGTACATATAAAATATTGTTGTTTGCTCATGCATATAAGACAATAAATTTCTATTTATACTTTATACACGTTTTGTTTAGATTGTACTCTGTACATACAAGAAATTAAAAAGAAAGCAACAGCAAGAAAACCCCAAAAACTTTGGAATATGCTATACTTAAGGCTATACAATACAAAGAGTGTTCTTTTGTTAACAATAAGTTATGGTTATAGTATAGCGAGAGACTGTTATGTGTAAAATATCATGGTCTGGACGACATCGAAGGTTTTTTCTTTACGGAAATGATCGAGGCCGTAAGGGGATTATTACATAACAGTCGAGTTCGATATATTATATTGTTTGACAATATTTACCTCTGAAACATTTGAATATTCAATGACCTTTTGTCGGTAATTGTCGGATTCCGAAGTATACCATACAGATTTTAAAGTATGACATAACGATATACATGTTGTATATGGTTGAAGTATAACATAAAGTTACCGACACATCACTTGCTAACAAGCCTCGGTGATAAGGAATTAAGACTCTTAGTTCCAAAGTGAAGATTGTAGGTTCGAAACTTAACGAAACAATTCTTTTTATGTTTTTTTAATTAAAAATTTGCAAAACTAACTTACATGTACTACTAAGTTTTTGTGCCTAACTGTACAAATGGAAATTATGTAACTTGATCATAAGTTGTTAGATTCTATTTCTTTAAATAAAATACATAAGAAATTACAGAAATGTTTCGTCCATATATGCTACATGTAATAAAAAGATAATAAAAGAGATCTGAAAAAAAAGTTTGTTGAGGATTCTACCTTGCAATATCGCGAATGCTTTGCTATCATAAATACCACTAGGTCATCGGAACGTTAGTATAAACTAAGGTATTGACAACATTCCTATCATTAAACGAAAACGCTTCCGAAAATTAATGAGTCTCAGGTCAATATTGCCTTATCACATGACAAACAGAAATAGACATACAATTTTAATATATATATTTTGCTTCCCCACTCGGAACCTCGGTTACTTTTTATCATGTCAATAACCGATTTTTGTTTTTCTTTTTGTAAACCCCTGTATTAATTGTTACACGCTAGTAGTACGCCACTTGGTCAGCATTTTTAATGAAGTGCATAAATATGGATTTTTAGATTTATTTCAATGAAAACGATTATTGTTATTTTCTCTGGGACTTGAAATGAACAATATTGCAATTATTGCTACTATAGAGGCAGTGGCTCCTAGCACAAAATTACTTTCAGGAAAAAGGATTAAAAGGTTTATAAACAAGTCATTCATGTCCCCAGTACCCCATTATCTATAACAGTTGAGGTTCATCAAAGAATAATCACCGCACCATGCGATAATACAAAACAAGCAAACATCCGGACACATATATATTTACTACCCCTGACCTTTGATGTATAAACTGCTCAATGATATATATTTACTATAAAATATCGTTTCATGAAGCTAACCACCCGAAAACATCATCCTTGTAAGGTTATTGTAGAATGAATCGATAATTTGCTTTTGTAATATTTTATAGTACTTTTTACGTTTTGATTATTGCTATACTAATTTACAAAGTAAACAAAATACAGCTAGAATATTTGCCCGATAATCCCGAGTAAATTGCATCATGTTTGACGTAGACGATGTCTGGATTTTATAATGAAATCATTCAGACGGATCATTTTCATGGATTAATCTTACATGAAAAATGTTGATATGGTTTCCAATGTGTCAACGTTTATATCAGATATAATAAATAACGTTTATTTAAGATGTGATAAAATACAGAAATGTCAAAGTCACTGGTAAAATAAATGCATCTGAATGAACTGAAGAACATTAACGTTCCTTTTCATGTAAAATGTTTATCCAACGTTTAAAGCCAATTCAATTACGCAGTGATTTATAAATCGGAATTAAAAGTTTTAATTTAGTTAATACAAAGAACGAAATGAATCAATACAGAGATTTTTAAATTTAAATCTGAATATAATGGGTATTCCCTTTAAAATCACGAGTATTTTTATGAAATAATTCTGCAGGTAATCATTTAAACACAGAGTTGTATAGTTATAGGTAACTAAATCTTTTTAAGCTTAAAAAATGATTAACGAGATTGCAGTTGGGCGGATAGGTGAATGTGATTATGATGGACATACTTTATACTACATGATACTTCCCAAAGTAATATAGCATAACGTAACGTAACGCAAAGGAACGGAACATAACATAACTAGCATAGCCATAACAGAACAGAACCAGAACATCTTTATTAACTCAAGTTACAAAACAATCTGGAAACAAAGTGATCCCTCGGAAGCAGTAATCAAAACAAAACTACATGCAAATTGCAGACTCGATTTGATTGAGTATGTATATGTATACAATATCCCTTACGCCCCACAGCACCGGCTTTAGTGGTACTCAATTCTCAACACTTAATAGTGCTGGCATCAATGATCCCGAAGGACCAGAAAAATAACACAACACTAAACATATAACATAACATAACATGACATAACAGAGTTTATTCAGCATTAAACATAGCATATAATGAGAAAAATGTGAATTAAGGTATGCGGCGTAAGTTATATTTTGACACTCGAAATGTATGCATAAAAGATGCGGCATCAAAATTTGCATTGATATGTTAATATGTGATTTAAACTTTCAACAGAAGACATTTGTTTTTCCAGTTTACAAGTTATTTTTCTAGCAATAAAGTTCTGATGATAACCATTTAGTAACTTCGTAGAACATATTCATTTGTATAACTACCTAGTACGGCATGGCTAAAAGGTTCACGCATCGGACTTACAACAATAGGATCGGTATCCGCGTGCGTTCAACCCATTGTTAGGGACAAGCGGTTGTTTCATTGTGCAAGAAACGTTACACTATCTGAGTGGATTCGAGTGGACCTTTCAACATATTTTTTTCTAAAAATCAATCTATACAGAATAAGCTATTATCATATATGTTATATTCTGAAGTTTATATAGAAGTAAGCTTAAGGAATGTAAGGAGGTTATGATAAAGATGCACACAACCAATCTATTTTTGAATTGTAAACTGAAAGTAAGATTATGTCCAATAGTTTGTTTGGGAAAAGCACAGTCATGATTTAGTACATGTTTGTCGCGGGACGCACACTTAAGAGGTAAAATAAAGCATCTGGATACAGTGCAGGTAATTAAATGCAGTAATGTTATAAATCCTTGTGAAATAATAACGAATTAGATTCAATCATTCATAATTCAACATTATGAAGTAGGCTGCTGATCACAATCAGAACTTATTTTTGCAGAACTATAACCTGAAAAAATATCTATGAAAATTTGTGATACTAAATAGATACCTTTATGGCATAAAAAATAATAAAGTTAATAAAAATTACATCAGCAATTTACACAGAAAATATAAATGTGTCCATTATCCAATAAAAAAAAAACAACGTGAAATTTCTATCAGCAATCAAAATTGTCAGTAGTGTTAAGAAGTAATAAACTATTAAGAATCAATGCATCATGTTTTAACATTTCTTTAAATTACATCAGAATAATGTATGCCATTAGGTAATACATTTGTCTGGCTTTTTTTCGTACATTATTGGTTTGATGTAAGTGTTTAACCGTCTACAGTAAATGGGTATTTACGATGCAAAAGGGCAAGTTCATGTTATGGGTTCATATTATAAGTTCAAGTTAGTTAAGTTTGGACTTCCAACAAATAAATGTTGTCTGGCTTGCCAAATAAAGAGAACATTACGTGTTTTGAGCTTTGATTCGGGAAATCATAAGTTTGGTAAAATCAACAAGCTCCTCAATTTAGGTTAATAATGATTTTATCACTTTAAATAACGTTTCTTTTATCCGACCACTATAGTAACACTGTATTTCTAAGCAGCTATAATGAATACTTGGGTCATTATAGTTGTAATAGTTTATTTAATGTACTGGCTTACTTAATTGTTTCTTACAGTTTAAATAATTTTGAATTACTCGGAGGATTTCCTCTGTTAAGATTTATTTGTGCATTTTTTGATTGTTATTAAATTCACTGCATGGTAAATAATTTTATTCTATCTTGTCTAAAATTTATGTGTGTTTCGTTCTTATCTTTGTTCCTTGTTTCTGATGGACTCGTTTTTATCTTTTAGATAATTTGATAAAAAGACAGTAAAATCTAAAACGGCTCTAATATCTTAAAATTACCTTTGATAGTTCATATTAGATTTTCTGTATAGGCAAATAAAACAACATTTATGAATTAGTGAATCATATAATGTAATGAAAAGTTCTTCAACTTCAATCAGATGTCTGCAGAAATGTTTACAAACTGAATTTACTCTATATGATGCATGTTATGAAAGCGTTATGTATTCAATAGAAAATTTGTATAAAGTTCGTTTAAAGAAAGTCAGATTGGCATTTTATTCACAATGATGTTATTATACTGGCTTCCTTGATAAAGTTGACGAGTACATGTTTTATAAAGCTTTGTTGTTCTAATGTATCATGTACAAAATACTCATTTACAGAATTGTCCGTTGTATAAAACATTCAATAGACAAATAAATCGTGGATACATTCATGTCTTGAAATATAGATACGCTCTGTCGCAAATTGGGTGATTTTTAATGATTCGAAATATTTCTCTGAATATACGAAAACATAAATCTAACAGTATTGAACATGGTTATTTAAACAATAACTTTGTATAGACAGGCGTTTATTTTCACCCACACAGTGTCGTATTTTGAAAATTATTAGAAATTATTTTATAAGTTATTTACAGGGCATCATTATGGATATCATCGAATTCAAAACAGTAATATAAAGTGAGAGATCTCTATATACTTTCAGAATTAAACAAACTTTTTCTTACTCTTTGATATCGATCTGGCATGTAGAATGTATGAAACTTGTTTGGTTAGTTATAACATGGGAAATATTCTTGCTGAAATTTTCATAAATTTATTGCTAACTCTCTTTATTATTATTCATATAAATTCTGTTGCTTATTTTACATTTTTGTATGGAATACTAAATGAA